TCCCTTGCAGAGAATCCGCTCCCAGAACATCGTGCCCTGCACCGTGTCGCAGCTGCTGGCGGCCGAGCAGGTGGACGAGACCTTCCGGATCCACGACGTGGAGATCTCCCAGGTGTGTGCCAGGGCAAGGCAGCGAGCAGGAAGGCTGCGGGTAAAACTCGTTTCCCGGGGCCTTTCCGGGTAAAGTCTGCCCTCTTCCAATGCAGGTCACCATTATGGGGATAATTCGGCATGCTGAGAAAGCACCAACAAATATTCTCTACAAAGTGGACGACATGACGGCAGCCCCGATGGATGTCAGGCAGTGGGTCGATACCGATGTAAGCACCGTATTCCTCATGAATGCACTTCTTTAAAAGCTTTGGGAGTGGTGAACAGAGAAATCCTGTCGAGAAGATGTGGCTGTTCTGAGAAGTTTTAGGAATAACATGTCTCTGAAAGCCAAGAGAGATGCTGCTGTAGCAGAGATCACTGGTGCTGTACTGACTCTTCTCCTGTTTTGTAATTCATACATGGTTCTACACTGAATCACTTGGAATAAAATTTTTTAGAGTTCAGCTGCTGAAGCTCAGCTGTTACTTCATAGCTGAACTGAGAGGTGCATGCTCAGAACCTTAGTGTAGAAATGCAAGGAGAGGGAGCAAGCAGATTTTTTTTTATGTAGCTCAGTGATTGAGGCGAAGACATGTACTGATGAATATTGTCTTGTTTTCTGATGCGTGCCTCCTGAAGTGCTGATAATTTTCACTGCTAGTATAGCAGGCCTTTAAAGCTAGCTTGTGTTATTGTAGCATACTTGAAGGCAAACAGCTGAGTTCAGTTGAACAACTTTAGGAGAGAATTAGGCAGACATTCAGTTAACTGCAAGTTTATCATAACTTCAAGGTTCTGGACTGCTTCCATTTCCCTAGCCAAGTTACATAGTTGAACACCTGCTTTTTTACTATTTGACGTTTTTTTCGTCTTGTTGCACTGTGAAGACCTCTCAGAAGTGGACAGAGACAGCAGAGCAGACAACTGGCTTTGTGTTGTAGTGCCAGATCAAGTGTACAGTGTGTTCAAACAAGCAAATTTTTTTTTCCTTTATTTTTCATTTACAGTTATGTTTGCCCAACTGCTTTTACTGGACATAGGAATGCATGCTGTTTGTGTTTGCTTGAGATGAGCCTCCTTTCCTAAGTCATTTATTGTGATAATTGAGAAATGGAAATGTGAATCAGCAAAACCTTTCTCCTTTTCCTCTCTGTTAGGAGGCAGGTGGTGAGAATGTTGTGGTACCTCCAGGAACCTATGTAAAAGTAGCTGGTCATCTTCGTTCTTTCCAGGTAATACGTTACCTACGTCTGACCGCTCAAGTCAAGAGGCCGGAGCAGTGGTGTGAAGGGCTGATGATCTGGCACAGTGTTAGTGGGCTCCCTTTAGAATATCCACTTAATCGTGGTCTTTACTCATCCTTTCCTGTGGACAAATCCTTCAGTGTTTTTGCCAGGGCTGTATTTAATAACACCTTTAATTATTCCTAAATGCAAAGGACAGAGGACCCATTTAAAATGCCATTCTTCATCAGTGTGTTGTTTTCAGCAGAACAGAGCACTGGACACCAGTTTCCTGGGTGTTTGTCCTGTAAAGCTTGGACCAGGGTCTGGTTAATGGGGGTGCTTTTTGTAGCCTATTAGGTGATGTAGTTGCCTCATAACTAAATATTATAACTAAATGTAGGAATAAATATTTAAATAGTGGTGCGTGCATTAAAGCAAAATGCAATTAATTACGAGCCAGTTAAGAGAAGTTACCTTGTCTGCATTGTCTTGCAAAATCACATATGAAAATGTAAGTCAGAAAATTTCAGACCAGTTACGTGCAGACAAGGTCCCTACCCGCCACTGTTCCTGGAGAGAATGGTGGATTGGCTGTTAAGCATGTTCCTGTTGCTGTGGTGTTCATTTTTTTGTTCTTTGCTTTTTTTTTTTTCTCTGAAAGAATAAGAAAAGCTTGGTGGCATTTAAGATCACGCCTCTGGAAAATATGAATGAGTTCACCACACACATACTAGAGATTGTCAATGCGCATATGATCCTCAGAAAAAATCTTATGGTATGTTCGCACTTGATTCGCATCCTGATTCCATCTTGTCCCTTACTGCGTTACTGGTTATCTCCCAAAGAGAGGGACTTCTTGGTTCATTGGGGAAATTACCTGCCAGTTGTGGGGCAGGAAAGCTTGAAGCTGTTAGAGGGCTACAGTGAAGGTATAACAGGAGTCCTGGCTCCCCTGGGGAGGGATTGTGTTGCTGGCCATTTCCAGCGGTTTCTTTTGGGAACATGCTTTTAATTACTGTCCCTCCAATGCTGTGGGCTTGCAGCAGCAGCCTGTGTAACCACAGCAATTTTACTCTCGTAATTTCAGTCAGCATCAAGAGTGCCTCAGTCATTTTCCTCTGCTGGGATAAGTGACGTGGGGGGCTATGGAGGAGGTGGCAGCCTGCCAGTGAATGGACTCACAGCGCATCAGAGTCAGGTGGGTGCAAGCAGCATCCCTAGGAACACAGCAGTCGCAGCAGAGGCTGGTGTGGCATGTTGTAGGGCAAGTAATGAAAGCTCAGTTACTCTTTGAAGGCATATGGTTCTTCCTTGACCTTGCTGCCCATCGATGATGGAGATGCCTAGCTGTGCACTAATGGTGGTTCTTGCTTTTGCAGGTGCTGAACTTGATTAAAAACTGCCCTGTCCCAGAAGGTATGAGTCTTCAGGAGCTGAAGAGTCAGCTCCACAATATGAGCATGTCAACAATCAAGTAAGTGTGTAGAAACGAAGGACATTCTGGAAATCTAGGTGGTCTTTCCTGGAGTCCGATAATTTCAGATGTTCCCAGTAGGATGCAGTAGTGAGCCAGAGCTTTTGAAGTCTTCAGAAGCTTAGAATGAGCCATTGTCAGCTGAAAGGGTGATGAAATGCTCTGCTCCCTATTTTCAGAACAAGTTCAGTAGCAAACAGGCACCTGGGCATACTGCAGTGCCTCAGCAGCATTTCCTCCTGTTCAGGGACTACCTTGCTCTCTGAACACCGATCTAAACTCGGGGAATAGACTGTTTCTGTTCTCTTTTCCTTTACTGTCTCGTAATTTCTCCTTCCTGAGACTTAGAAAAACAGTGAAGCCTAAAGACCATAATTAACATCCATTATCTTCCTTTGTTGTGTTCCCTTTGAATCAGAATGGTAGGTTCTGATTTTACCTGGGAAGTACTGAGAGTGGTGGCCTTGCCCCTGTGGCAAGTGGAGTCTAAGAGCTGCTGGGGGAGTGTATGGCCAGAGCTTTGGAGAAACTTTCTGTACCTGCTGACTGGCAGAGCAGCACTTAAACTGCTCACCGAGAGCTTCCCTTGGCAGGTGCCGGAAGGGAACAGTAGGGATGGGGTCTGTAAATGGGAAATCCCTGAGAGAAAGGTGTTGATTTGAACTAGTTAGCAATTGCTTTTTTTTTTTTTTTTTTTTTTTAAATTAATTCAAAGGCAAGCTGTGGAGTTCCTTAGCAGCGAGGGACACATCTACTCCACTGTGGATGATGATCACTATAAGTCGACGGATGCTGAGTGAAGTCACTTCCCACTGGATTTAGTTCTAAGCAAATGCTTGTCCATGTATCAAGTTATCCTGCCGAGCTTTGCGATGTGGAAGGTGATCTTTGCTCTTCCTAGCCTGTGAAAGTCCCAGTTACTCTGTGAGTGCCTCCTTGGAATTCAAGGGCAAGCAGAACATACAGGATTCTGTTAGCTGGACTCAATTATATGCTCTGACCATGTGACAGAAAGCAGAAACAGACATTGGAGAACTGAACTCCCCAAAGCTTCAGAGCCTTCAGTTTGTTTTGTCTCCTTAGAGCATGCCTGCGCTAGAAAGAAAAACCTCTTTCTAATAGTGTCCTGGGCAGACCATCTTTTGTTCCTAGAGCTGTTTCTCCTAGCTCAGCTTTCGTTCCATTTCATTCACAAAGTGGGCAGCCAAGAGTGATATTCCACTAATGTACAGTAATCATGAACAGATTTTTAATTGGTTTAGTTTATGCATTTAAATCTATATTTGTACTATGAGGTGATCTTGTTACTAGAGCTTTTGAAAGTTTCCAATAAAACTTTGACTTGGGTAGTCTTGCACGTGTGTGTGGCTCTAGAGGCTTTTCTTCTTCCCTAAAGATGATGGCCATCTGTGTTGGCAAAACCTAGACATGTGGGTAAAAGCACAGCCCATGCCTTCAGAGTTTAACTACAGTTATTTTTTTCCTTATATTTTGAAGTAAATTGTTTTAAAAGGTTAAACTGAAGTGAATATCTGGACACTAAGAAATCAAGTAATTGTATTACTGAAGAAAGCTACGCATTGTATCAGTGTTCCACGTATAGCCATGTTCATTTCTGCTGCCAGAAGTACTTCAGCTGAAGCTGAAATGAATTACGTTATGTGGTACAAGTTTTTCTTCTTTCAACTATTTTTAAAGCACAACCAAAAAAGCCACTAAGTTAGGAAATAGCAGGGTTGGTAACTGGTGATCCTTGGGGGTGTAGGTAACAGATTTGCATCTACTATTTCTCTGCACAATCCTGCCTTGCTCAGGGAGGCAGCGTGCTGAGGGAGTTGCTTTAGCGTATTTCTGTCCCCTTAGTCATAATATGCTTCCTATTTATGTAAAATGCAAAGCTGAAAACTGCCTTCCGGCAATCATTTTGCCTTCATTAATGGCAGCATTTCAGTTAATAAATATTCAGGGCCATTTTTCACCACGACCCTGTAAGAGGTGTAGCTGTTCTCACAAGAGGAACTGTGGCTTTTGTGGTGAATGCCTTTCTGAAAAGCAGGACCCAGGAGCTCAAGCTGAATGCTGAGACACTGAAATGCGCTGCTGGTTTGCTGCACCGTGCTGACCTGTCCTTTGATTACTGCTTGCCGAGTTGCCAGGGGCCTTCTGGAAAAACAGCACGAGTAGCCAGGGCTGATGCTGGTGGGCTCACGGGCTAGTCGACTCCAGTGCCAGGGGAGCTGCGAGTCATGGGGTTTATGTTGCCTGGGGCTGGTGAAGTGACCTGGCTTTGAAAAAGCCATTCTTCCCCGTGTGCTCCTCTGTGGGGCATCTGCTGCTGGCGTCAATGCTGGGGCAAACCCCCCTGTCCTGCTCAGGTTCAGCGGGTGGCACGGCTGTAGCCCACAGCGCACTTTGGGGGTGTCTAAGAGGCGAACTTCCAGGCTATGGCATCTAGCAGATCTAGAAGCTAAAAGTATGGTCGTTTCCCTTCTGCAGGAAGTGTGCAGGTTAGGAAGAAAATCCCTGCTGACTTTCGGAAGTGAAGATGAATGGAGTTGCTTGCAGTAAAGAGTAGTTGTGCGACTCAACAAAACACTTGTGTGTGGCTGGAGAGGAAAAACTCATCGGCTGGGGAGTGAGTTCAAGTCTCTGCCTCATCTCCATTTGCTGCAGGATCTTCAAAGCATCCAGGAGCAGCTGCTGTTCTCTGGCTAGTGGGAAGATTTGGAATAGGTCTTAGAGGACAGAACTGTTGGCTTCTTTGCAAAAAGCTTGCATTTAAAACTATCTGTGAACAAACAGTGAAATCCAAACCGAATACTTTCGGCTCAAATAAAGGAGACAAGGAAAAACACTTGGGCATTTTCAGTTTTCCAGATTTTCTTTATGCTCTGCTCCGTTCCTCCCTGCAGCCCCCCTTTTCCCCAGCTGTAGTCCAGCAATTAGCTTTTCCTCCGAGAGGAGGAAAATAACCTGCATTCTGGGATGACTTAAACACCTGTTGGCCTCTGCCACTGCATTGGGGTGTTTGGTTGAAGCTTTGTGCATCATATGCAGCCATGAAGAGCTGAGAGAGTTGGTGTGATTCAGCCTGGAGAAGTTTCTGGGGAGACCTTATTGTGGCTTTTCGGTACTTAAAGGTGGCTTATAGGAAAGATGGAGAACAGATATTTTACCAGGGCTTGCAGTGACAGGACAGGGGGCAACAGGCTTAAACTGGAAGAGAGCAGGTTTAGATTGGACATAAGGAAGAGATTTCTTATGGCCATGGTGGTGAGACACTGGAACAAGTTTCTTGGAGGCACTGTAGATGTCCCATCCCTGGAAGTGATCAAGGTCAGGTTGGATGGGGCTTTGAGCAACCCGATCCAGTGGAAAGGGTTGGACCAGGTGACCTTTAAATGTCCCTTCTGACCCAAACCATCCTGTGATGCTCTGGTCCTGTGACTTGGGTGCTGTTAATGAATGGCTAGCCCCTGTTTGCAGGTGAGAGCAGTCAGTGTCTCTCCCAAAATGCTGATTTGAAGAGGGAGTGCTGATACGGAGTGTGAATCCCAGGGCAGAACTGGAGCCAGAGAAGGAAACCAGCCCAAACCCAAGCCAGGACTTGATCCAAACTTGAATGAATGAGAACCTCTGCAGCTTTGGGACACTGCCCTATGCGCTGAGTGAGGAATGACAGGAACTGAAGAACTGAACCCAAAAGCTACTCTTCACCGGGAGAGGAAAAAAACCCAGCTTGATCTTAAATGAAATTTAAAATTTATTTTCCAGCTCTGATTTGAAAGCGGTGCAGTGTGTGATGCAGGCATGAAAGCCTGCTTGCTTTCGGTATAAAGGTCTCCCCTCATCAGCTCTTTCCCCTTACTGCACATGAGGACTATGAGGTCTTTGTCTCTGCCACTTTCCTGGGGCTTTGCCAAACTTGCAGGAAAAGAAGAGTGGACCTTTGGTCCTTACTTGGTTTTCAGGTCATTTTTTGCATCCAATGACATGAGTGCAGCAGGAGCCTTTGTAGGTGCCAAGAATCTGCAAGAGTGCGACAAGCACGCTCACAAGCAGGAGGGGACCATGGAGGTCCAGGGCAGATGTTGCTTCCAATTGCAAGGGCAGTTAAAAATGGATGAGGAAGCTGGCAAAACCTAAAGCCACAATGTTTTTACAATGTTTCTACAACCTTTGTGAGAGATTAGGCCAGAGTGAGAAGTGAGTTTGGCTGTACTTGAGAAAAAATGCAGCTTCTGCCTTACGAAAGCGGGTTTCTAACGTGCAGTTGTACAAATGTGTCAGTCAGCGGTTTGAGCCTCAGCTTGGGGCACAGCTTGCACCATGTGAAGTACCTTGTCATGTCTCCTCCTAACCCCGTCCTGCCCCACGTGCCAAACTGTCTGGACATGCTGGCTCCAGAGTATCTCCATCTGGAAGCATCTGTAATCCCAGTCCAGACACCATGGCAACACAGTGGAGTGGAGTGAGATCTGTGTCCCAGGACCTGGGCTAGCATCTCAGTGGCATCTTGGTGGCCGCCCAGCCTGATGCTGGTCTGCTGCTGTCAGAGAGTCCCATGGGTGACAGCTGAGGAAACAGCCCACAGGCCCACAGCACAACAGGGGGATATATTCTGAGCCAAGGGCTCTCCTGAAAGCATAAGGGCTGCTTGCCTTCGAGGAAAGTGGGCTCCTTTCTGTGGGGTCGAGGCCATTGGAAGTTGCATTGTGGATCCCTGGGGCTGTATTTAGCCTCTGCAAGTAATCAATGTCATGCCACATCTAAGATTATTTGGAGGCTGGGTGGCTTCCAGAAACTAGAGAACTAGAAAGGAAAAATTGCTTGCATTTTGTGAATTGTCTTTTTCATCTTGTTATCAACAGTTTCATAATCATGTTCAGCACTGTTGCTCTCCATGCCTGGAAGAGAAAAGAGAGCACAGCCTGCAGACATGCACCATGACAGGCTGCGGCAGAAACCCCAAGGTGGATGCCTGGACCTGGTCTGAGGACACCAAGGATCGAGTGTGCAGGGAGGAGAAGGGATTCTTGTGGTGTGGCAGCAGCTGCTCTGCCACCACAGACAACGGCTTCTGGGGCCAGGGGTCCCTTGTGACCTGGGGTGGGGGGGTGGGAAGGTGCCCCGCTGGGTGGCAGATGGAGGCCAAGAGCTTGCTGGTGGTGTTCACCATGCCATTGCCCCTGAGGTCAAGCATGGCTTCCCCTGGTGCCATGGTCTCTGTGTGGGACAAGGGATTGGGGTGCACCCCCCACATGTCCCCCCTGCATGTGGGACAAGGGGATGGGAAGGTGCAGCCCCCATGGGTGCCTGCCTGGCTCCCCAGCTGAGCATCCCCTATCCCAGGTCCTCAGTGGCCAGCGGCACTCCCCGGTTAAGCACAACCCGCTGACGCTGCTGGGGGGC